TGCCATCATCTCACCAGGGATGTTACCTGGTGGGATGTTACCTAGGGCGAGGAAGGGAATGGTGCAGGAGGCCCTGAAAGTCTCTGTGTTAAAACATAGTCATCAGAGATTCACAGTGAAACTTAAGGGAGAGCAGGTTTCGTGGGGACTTTTCTCTAAAGGGCCATCTTCAAAAGAAACAACAGGGATTCTGGCAGCTGGAGGTTTCATGAAAATCTGTCACACGTCAGCTGTACCTGTTAAAAGACTGATCAAATGGTTTAATTCCTTTGAGGTTTCATTTCTGCAGCACTTAGGAAAACACCTTCCTCTTCCACACAATTGCTATTGAAAACTATCTTAGGATAGTAAACTATCCTAAGCAAGCTACCCTAAGTAACTGTCTGCTGATACATGGGGGGTTTCGTTCTTTACATCTAAGAGAACATTAGGGGAGGAATTAATTTAAAATATGTTCTAAAGCAAGGAACTTGCCAACCTGGCTCCTATCCAAACTGTACTATATTTACTACCACGCGTCTCGTGCAGATTGCTCCATCCTCCGCTATTTTCTTTAAGAACTACTAAAAAGATAACATATGTGAGAGACTTGCCTATCGGTCTCCAGCAGGAATCCAAAGGGAGCTATATTCCATGCTTTATTTTCCACCCAAAGAGGAGGAACGTTTCTTCTGCCTCTACCATGCCGGGCAGGGCAGGGGCTTCAGCCAGAGACGTGCTCCTGCGGCTGCCTTCTCTCCACAGCAAGACACGGAAATACTCCCTGTCCGAACAAGACCAAAAAGCCATCACAGACTCTACTCTCACATCTGTAATTCATATGCCTATTTCTAAGGGGGGGTGCCAATCACACTTTTGATTACAAACAAGTCTGCGGGAGATCATTAAGCAAACAGGTGTCTTGTCAAAGAAGAATTACTTAAAAAGAAGATGTTACAGCGTTCCCAGAGCAGAAGAGCCTTATCAGCTGCACACGGAGCAATGCTCAACTGCTGAAGCTGAGGACAAGAGCAAATGGAAACAAGCTGAAAAAAAAAGAAAAAAGAATGATACATATTCAGTTTTCCTAGTGCTGTTTATACCATGGAAATGCAGAACAAATTGAAACCTTAGCATAACTCTAAACCTGCACATATTACCCAGAGAAAATAAGATAATATATTTTAGTCAGTAATACCAGAAAAATCAACTGGAAAAAAAGCCAGACACCTTTGGCCATGGAAAGTGAATGAAATAGGACTACCAATGGCTGGAAAGCCTGGGGGAGGCGATGTGCGTTATCAGTCCCAGGTTGTTCTTTGCAACTGCAATCTTGCCCCCAAGGATGAATCCCAGGCTGCCTAAAGTAAACCAGCCTACAGGGGCATTTTGCTCACTTTGTAAATAAAAACCTAGCTAAAAAAGAAGTGGCGAAATCCCCTTTCTGTGTTACAGCCTGGGTGAGAAAGCAGCTCTTTCTTGCCTCCTGGAGCAGGGCACACGCTGACTCGTGCTTACCTTTTAAAAATGATTAAACCCGGTATCTGCGCGGCGCGAGGCAGTTCCAACACGTATGTCACTGCGTGCATGTCTGCTTCACCATCAGCATGTATGGCTCATCATCTGTCTGCTCTGAACAATAACTGTTAGGTTAGCAGCCTTTTCACTTGTAAATGTAAATATTGTATCTAGAACACAATATTTGAAATACAAAATACAGTGTTATTAAGACAGCGCTCACACATCAATTCTTGTGTGACTATAATTTGTGAAATGCCTTAGGAGGGGCTTATAAATAAAGTATAAGGTGTTATTATGAAATACATTTTAACCAAATGCACAGAAATGTCTCTTTCCTGTTGAAATCAATAGCAAAACTCCCACTAATTTCAGTGGTAAAAAGCGGAGACCCTTGGAAATTGCTGTGCTACGCTGAGCAATGTATTACAGCAGATTTCAGTCTTCGTATATAATACAGCTCTAGAAGAAGAAAGGGGATGAAAACGGGTATTAGAGGCTGCTCGGAGCACGCTGAAGATTTTCATTTCCCACCTCCGCGGCTGGTAGCGGTGGCGAGGCAGCACCTCCCCACGCGGCCGCGCGCGACCCCCTCGCCCGTTGGCGGCGGCGCTCCGAGCCCAGTTGGGCGCTGGGGCTGCTCCGGGGCCTCACCTGGCCCCCAGCAAGCGACCGACCGGGAGCTGGCACCGGTGCTCAGGCGTGGGAGCCCCTGCACGCTCGGCCCCGCGCCCC